CTAGTATTTTATTAGATTTTGTTTCCAATATGCCTGTATTGGAAGATTTAGGAGACAAAAAAGGCACAAACTCACATTTAAAGAAACGACGAGATAATCTAACCCATCCTACAAAGTGTGTGTTGCCAAAGGAAGGAGCGCGATGAACCCATCAGGACGCGTCGGGGAGGCCCAGCGGGATGAACCCAGAGGGGTGCGGTGGGGTGGGGGGCAAGCGGCCCCACCAGCGAACCGGCCTGACCCGGGCTGCGGCGAGGTACCTGCCTCGGGCCCCCCCAGACCCACCCGGAGCGGGTCGGAGCGAGGGGGTCACAGCACGACCCTCGTCCTAGACCAGACACGCAGCCCGGCGACAGCCCCTCCGGGCAGGCCGAGGGGCTCTTGGCAAAGCTGATGGAAGATACAGCACGGGACTGTGCGTGATCTTCGCTACGCTCACTAGCGGGAACCAAGCAGCGAGACTAAAAGGTCCTCACGGGATTTGCCTAACCCAAGGCTGAGGGATGCTTTCACTTTGGATTAAATTGGAAAGAAAAAGCAAGGGGCAGGGTGGGGGGGGGAAGTATTCAGGCTGGAGTTCCAGTAGTTTGCTTGTTTTTCTTTTTTTTCTCCTCAGTTTTTCCACTAATCAGGAAAGCTTTGTGTAAAAGCTCTTAACTCCGAAATCAGAGGATCAAAACAGGATTGCATGGTGGAATGTTACAATCTGCTTCCATGGCGATTAGTGTCATCGGGTAGAAAGCCTCTTGGATAACACAAATTGAAAGAACAAGTGTGCCATGTGTATTCTCAGGTTGTCCTCAAGTGTAAGAATCCCTCAAAACGTAACCAACAAACATGAACAGAAGTCAGTGCATAAATTCGCAGTTAAAAATACTTTAAACTGGAAGAACTATAACTGGGGCCTACACTCCTAGAATACTTCTTGAAGAGATATAGAAGATGCCACGAAACATCCTGGTCCCAAATAGCCTCATAGATTAAAATTTGGTTTCTTCACCTATTTTACAATAAATTTGTTTTACCTCTGCCTGGTGAGATTGCTAAAAATCCCTCAAACCCTACCCCCACCCCACAAAACCATCTGAGGTCACTGAGAAGAGCCTGCCAGAGTTACTGGTACAGTTCAGAGCTTATTGCACTTAGACATGAGTAAGGCAAAATAACAAACTAAAAATAAAGGGATAAACTGCCCCCTCCCCAGAAACCAAACGCCATCCTCTCCCTCCAGAGCGTGCTTCATCTTCCCTCGCACCGAACACAGTTCAGATCCCAGCACACACTTGCTCAGCATGGCACGGGATCGTGTCAGGATCTCCTGCTCAGGGGAATGTGAAAGGCTGAGGGAGTCGGATGTATCACACAACGCCAAGACGACTCCTCAAAAGTGGCAATACACCCACGACTGTATTTGGCATTCGGTATTTTGTTAGTGCTGCCAAACACAGAAGTGAAAAATAAAGTGATTACTACTAGGAAAAAAAAAAAAAAAGTCAAACATTGGGCCTTAGGCATAAGCAAAGAACTTTTCTTTCTCATATGTATTTTACAAAGCAGCATTTCTTTGATTCTGTTCTGCTTATTTGATTGTCTAAAGCTGATATTAACATAAGGATAGCTACAGTAAGGATTTCAGTTCATTAAATAACCAGAGCTCTTTACATAGTTTCTATGGTTTGTGATTTATAATTGACAGATATCCTAGAAAACAACTGCAGGTCTTTATAAATTGCTTTTTTTATACCATGAAAGGAGATATTTTAGCCAGTCTTGCAACGGGAAGAATATTATTGCTGAGCAGAACCACTGAGCCAGGCACCTGGATGTAATCAGATACCAAGACATTACTTGTACACCACCTTTTGCTACATCCCAATTTGTCCAGGGAGAATCACATTATTATTAGTCAAAGTAATTTTAGCTTTGGAAGTTATGGGAAAGAACCAGGAAGTTGCAACATACACCAAGCAACTTTTCATAGTGATTTTGTTAAGACTGACACAGACAGCTGAAGGACAACGTAGCTACATGGGCCAAAGGGCTCATCTACCACTAAAGTCAAACAACAGTTCTGTGCTGAAGGCCCTAGCATGGGGACACCAGCTGCAGCTTCTGTGCAGTCTGTAGTTCACGTATGCTAAGACAGAACCAAGTAATGCCGTGCAGAAGCCACATATCACAATTCATCACAGACCAAGGACTACATCTGGCTATTCCTGATTACGTACTCTTGATTACATGCCATTCAACTTCTTACCCTGGGAGCAAGGGTCTGAGCGTAGCATTTTGTGGAATAGTTTTGCACTCTAGAATACTGACAGTTTCTCTCTCCAAATAGACATTCAAAGAATGGTGAAGGGCTGGGCAGGAACAAAGGTGGCAGTTTATCCCACTTGGAAAAAAAAAAAAAAAAAAAAAAAAGGAAAACAAAAAAAATCTAAGTCACCACATCACAAGACTATTTTAGCTAAAAATGTCACTTGGAAATCAAACAGGGCCACGTGGAGATTGGTCTGAACACAATGAAAAAAAGGAGGGAGGAGTGGTAAATACAGCAATCTCTAAGTCACACGTCTCCAAGGAGCTACCTCCCTTGCACACGTGCTAACGTTGGAGTGCTTAGTACCAGACTGTCTATTTGCTCACAATATTAAGGGGCATCTAGAATTAGCTATGGGAGATTTAAAATCGCCTGCCGGTTGGATACAGAAAGGCTTGATCCAGAGATGGTCCGTCAGTCAAGAGTGTGGATTCCCCAGGCCTTCCTGACGACTGTCTTGCAAACTAGAATAAAGAGACAACAAGAAAATGTTTCAGAATTGCTTTGGAAGAGCAGGGTGCCAAAAGAAGTGTCAGACTGAGCCTGCAGAGAGCAAACATGAGACACGCTGTCGCCAGTGCAACACACCCCTGCAGCATTGCATTTCAGCACCCATCCACAGCTGAATTGCCAACATAGCCTAAAAATGGCAACTGGAAATTGCAATTTAAACAACCTAACAAATCCAGAGGCTATGATACAATTGTGAAGACCACCAATTCCTTTCTCTAAGAGCTAGAGAAAATGCGAAAGAAGAGACTAAAAAGGTTTAAGTTGTGTTAAAAAAATTTAAAAATATGTATCAGAAGACACCCCTTCAGACACAACCTCACCTTGTGTTCCCTACTTACCACAAGACAACCAGCACATAACAGAGGACAAGCTGAGGTAAACAGTCAGTCCTCCATAAGGCCATGGTTGTGCCCCACCCCATTCTTTCCAAGGCTAGCTAGGAGGGGGTTTTATTGCCCTGGAAATATTATGGCTAGTAAGTTGGACTTCTCTACATAAATGACCCATCTCTTCTTTCTCCTTGTATTCTAACTTCCCTGGTACTATAGCACATTTTTGCACAGTGTCTACAAAAACAAAAACAACAAAAAAAACCCAACCAAAACCAAACCCAAAAGCTGATGACACAAATTTAAGAGAATAAATAAGGTTCAACATTCTCAGCACTGCACACACTTTACCACCCAGCATGCTGTCTAAATTTGGCCAACAAAGGCAAATTCATATATGCTCTCCAGTATGACAGTCCCTCCCCTGCCAAGTTAACATACTCATAATGAAATGGATGAAAAACAAATCAAAACTTTCAAAACTGTCATTGCTGCTTCTCCTGCAATAGTGCGAGAAATACATTCCAAGCATATTTGCAAGGAACTTCTGAAAGTATTCTAAGAATTTGCAGGTCTAACATTCATTTGGGACTGACAGAAGTTTCTCTGCAAGCCATGGAAAGTAACACATGCATTGCAGAAATAAGAATAGCAGTAAAGGCTACAAAATGTTCTAACACCTTTTTCTTACACTTCTCACTCAGACATTTCTTTAGAATCGTTCTGAAGGCAGTAAACTCGCTCATCAACCTGTCAGCGAAACAGGTTCACTACAAAAACAATTAATACCACAGATCTGCCTGCTAGAAGCTATTAACAGGATCATTTCTTAGCCAAATACATATTTTTTCCTAAATAGAGCATCAGAGTTTTGTCTAACTCTCTTGATACCTACAGTGCACGAGGAGGAAGTCGCGTTAGTCATCTGCAGCCGACATTCCTTTCACTGGATCTTTTTCTCTCATCTGAAAAAGGAAACACTGTTCAAGTACTGATTCTCACATGATGATCTCAAAATGTACTGGTATGGAATACGTTAAACTACCTCCTTTATGTAAGACACTGATTATATCTGATGATCCCAAATCAGTGTGTGTGAATATGCACATGCAGGCCCCATTTCTGGTTAAGCTGCAGGTCTGTTAGGGATCTGGAACCATCACCCAAAGGGCAATGTACATGAAACTATAATGAAATATTCTTGAGGCATGAAGGAAGAGAAGGGTGCAGTGCAGGACACAAATAATGGTACAATATACTCATTATTACCCAATTCATGTTTCTCATCATAAGAACCCTGTTATATACCCCCACTACCTGCTTTAATACTTAAAGCTAAAAATCCTTTTACTGAACTGCCTTTTTTTTAAAAAAAAAAATAAGGACAAAAATGACCATTCACCTCTGGGTAAAAGCAAACAGAAGATATTAAAGAAGTAAATTAATCATTGCAACTCATACCCTCATCACCTGTGGTTCAATACATTAATTGGCTCAACAACAGAAGGAGAATTCCATAATGATTAGAAGGAGATGCCAGCACCACAGAGTCAGAGCCAGCCATTCAAACCACAAGCAGCATGACCTAAATAGCAGGAGGACAACACACTCTATGCTATGACAATGCAGCAGTCTTTTCTCTCTACTGTACTGGGTGGAAACAGTTTCTCACACAGCCCACACCTGCCCTGCTTTTCCACTGACCTCATCCAGCTGCCTCTTGGTCTCCTCCTCCATCCTACGGATGTCCTCCATAGTCAGATCAACCCACTTGTCGAGCCAGCAGAAGAGCTGCCGATGGAAGTTTGTGAAGAGACGCCTTTCTTGCTGCAAAAGGAGGAATACAGCACACAAGCCAGTTTACTCACAGGCCAATTAATATGGATCTAACCAGATCATAACCATTTTCAGGGATGTGTACACTGAAGAAGCAGCTCCCTCGCCCACCTTTCTACATAGCTGCCACAATGGGAAACTGGAGCTAGATAATTTTCATTCTTTTAACAGAATATCTAAAGCTTTGAATCCCCAGAGAAATGCTTTTTTTTTTTTCAAGCCTAGACAGCAGCCTGCACAGTGTATTGAAGGAATTAGTGAACGCTTTAGCAATTTCCTTTGATTTGACAGTACTGTTCTGACTGAATAAAGTGCTCCAGATGGGGTTTACTAAGAGCACGTTAGTTGGCCTGAAGGTGCAGAAAAAAGGACAAGCAGAATAAAAGTATTTTTCAAATAATCCCTGACTTGCTAAAAATGGAGGTTAGCAAGTGTAAAGAGTTGGCATGCACCTATCTTGCCTTTTCTTTTATAGTGACCTAAAAAAACCCTAAACTTGTTTTCCACAGCCAAAAACCTTTCAGCAACAGTAACTAATGTGCACAAACTGCTTTGAGTTAGGAGCAATTTACTTCCATTTTATGGAAGATAAGCTAGATGAAATTATATTAAGGGGTATACAATAAAGTTCTCATTAAGGAAGGACTCAGTTTCAGCAATTATGGTTTCACATCTGATAACCTGCTCTCATCAAAAGCAGCTTGACAACTTTGTAGCTGAAGAGGGACTCATAAAGAGTAAGGGATTCAAGACACTGCTTTGTTCAGGGCTTTTGTTACAGGTATTTGAAATCCAGCATGGTCATTCCTCCTTAAGAGTTCTCTGTAGATTATACCACCAGGGAATTGCTTTTGCAGAAGCAGCACTGTAGTTTAACAATACTAACCACTGAGAAGTCTCCGTGATCTGAAGTCACAAGTGTTTTATGAACATTCCATTGCCTGGAAAAATGCACTTACTGATTCCCAGGTCTAGCATCCTGCTGCAGTTCATGGTTTATGAACTCTGCCACGGAAAAACAACTCTTCTCAGGATACCAGTTACTCATGTTTTAAGTTAATGAAGTCTCCCACCATCTGCTTATTTTTTAACACAGGTTTTTCAAGCAGCAGACTAGGAGAGGAAAACATGACTGGAGCTCTAGGACTTGCCAGAAAGATCCTCAGCTGATTAGGATCGGATAACTGAAGCTGTAGCTATCTCCTCACAAAAACATGTCTTGCCCCTGACTAAAATAACCCTAGTCATCATCTCATCATTCACAAAACAACTACCAAATGACTACAGGTCTCAGGCTGATCTATTAACGAAAACCAGCCACTTTACCTTCATACATTAGGGTGAAAACTATTCAACAGACAATTCACAGAAGAATCAGCCAGCCCTTGGATTAGCAGCAAACTGAATCCAACCTTAACTGATTGCAATGTATAAAGCAGAAGCCTTGACTGTTTTGCCTGAGGTGACATGACTGGGTTTCAAGTTAGTTTCTCCAGACAGGACACACTGTTAGAAGAAGCTGAGGTGCTACAGCAGATGGGAAGTGAAACACGTCTAATTTCCAAATCTCTACCCATAAAAAGAGCTCACTTACCTTCTGTATAAAGTTCTCAACTTTATTTTGCAGACCCCACCACTTGAACTTGACTGTTACCAGTTTGTAAGCACACATGTATGGACAATCTGTCTGTTTCCCCAGCTCCTTCTGCAAAGACACAAAGATACACCAGGACTCGGTATCTCTACAGCAGTAAAGAGAGCTGATACAGCTCCTGAGCCAATGCAATACACACCTTCCAGTTGGGACCCAGAGGTCCACGTCCAGTCTTGACAGATTTAAATTTTGCTGGATCTTCTTCTGGCTTGTAATCCTGTTGGGCAGGCACACAAGATTAAACACAAATTTACTACTATGGTTACCAGCCACCCACTGTCACAAAGGATTTATTTTTCTGGTGGGCAAAGACTAACCTGTAACTGCCTTCTCAAGAGCTACTGTTTTCAGACTTCAACATTAGGTCAGGCACTCTTAAAGGAAACATATTCCTCCCTCTGTGCTGTGTCCTAGACCTATGTGAAGAAGTGGCAACAAACTGATAGGACCTTTGTAAGGATTCCTTTGGGGTAAGACCATCAGCTCTGTAAACCCCCTCAGGGTAGGTTTCCTGTAACCTTTCATTCTCTGGGAGCTAAACACTGCAGAAAACAGCTATGTTCCCTGGAGCTGTATTATCTAGCATTCTTCTCAGTACCATATCAGTATGGTGCTCACATATTGCACTCTAGAAGACAAGTAGTCAAACTCACAGTAACATCAAAAAGAAAGTCATCAGTTATGCTCCCTGTTGCACAGGAAAAAATATGCAGCATTCTCCTCTGGCATCTTGGATTAAGATTGGGCTGTGTACTCTATTCCTACCTCCAATTCAATTACAACAAAACCAGACTCAAATCTTCCTCAGTTTAGTGCCAAAAGGGATAAAATGGTTACACCTTCTTCAGAAGTCTTCTGCTTCAGGTGAATTCTCCCTTGTTTTCTCAGGGCATTTAACTCAGAGTAGTTTGCATTTGCAGATACAGCTCAGTACCTGCCCAGCCTGTTGGAGTCAGATGCTAAGCCATTCTAGGATTCTACCAGTCTGGTTCAATACCCAAGGCCAAGTTTGAGAACTAGTAAATTAGCTGCACGTGAACGGTATTGGAAATACTAAGTCAGGAAACTCAAACAATATTCCACTTTTATATAGTTGAGTTTTTTTCCAGTACAGACAGAAACACCCCTCTTAATGGGAGTTTCTTAACAGGAACCGTAACAATCCTTAGAACAAAGTATTATCTACATGGTTTCAAGATACACTTGTGAGGCCATGGGGCAGTTTCAAAAAGCAGGCAGTTTAAAGAAGATCCTCTATGGCAAGAGCAGTGCCAGTTCTTGCTATTCAAGCATTCTAATCAGCTGCAGTGCTGTAGAACTACACATAGACACTGTTCTATGCACTGTAAGACTAAGTAACACATTTTACAGACACATCTTAAGGAATGTCGTTCCTCCTCTTTCCACCCCCTCATTAGTCCTGTTACCAACCCTGGGAACACAGTTTGTGCCTTATCCTTCTTTTAGCACGAGGCCTCCCACACCAGGGAGCTCTTACCCACCTACCATACCTTGGGAAGCACTTGACTCCAATCAGCAATGTCTATATAAATAGCTTCTACATTCTTCCATACATCTGGGTCCAGTTTGTGAACCTGCAGTGAAAGCACAAGACTAATATCAAGATCCAACTCCAGAAAAAGACTCAGCTGCAGAACACTCCCCATTCTAAGATCATAAGAAAACAACACAGAGATGCAGACACCCAGTGCTCCCCTTCCAAGTACAGAGAGGACACCCTGGTAAGCACACAATATGAGATCTTCTAAAGAAGCAGAGGTGCTCACACAGAACTGTTTGTTAGGGGACAATTTTATTCAGCATATATGAGAAGCCCACAGGAGGGAGTCTCTGCCTTGTTAGTGCAATAAGCATTCCAAACCCAGCAACACAGTGAATAGACAGTTCCAGACAGCAATTCCCTAGTCTAGCACAGAAAGCAGTGCTGTGACATTAAACACAATACTTACATTCTCTTGTGTTCCAAGATCTGATTTATGCCAGGTTTCAATTTTGATCAGAAAGTCATCCTTCATATACTCATTCTGTCATCAAAACAAAGCTTCTTGTTATTCTTTGGATATATATAAGTTGTCATCTTATTAGCTAGATAAGTATTAGGAAAGTCAATTAAAAGAATTATAATGATTGGACTTTGACTTGGAGAACTTCAATTATTATAAACACAATTGCTTTTTGCAAAATTGCTTGATCACTAAATATGTAAGATCAAATAAACCACAAGTTGTTCACTGAAAAAAACATAAGTTCCATTGTTTTAGTGAAACACTTGCAGTTTATAAATAGCTTTTTCTTTAAAGGACTGTATTTGCCACTCTATGTAGAGTTTAGAAGGGGTAACATGAGTTAAATAGGCAGAAATTGTCTTTTCAAAGAGATTGCTGCTCTAGCATTGAATACCTATTTGGATGAAACTCTTCAAATGAACAACAGTATTAAACTGATGTGTTGAGAGCTGTTGACACTGGAAAGGGAAGGGACAAGAAGCACAGTTCTGCCAAGTAAGCAAAACAAATTCCATTTCTCATTAGGACTGTGACTAGAAAAGGACTTCCAAAGGTAACCCTATCCATCTATTCAAGGGAGTAGAAACAAGAGCAGAAGCCAGTGAAACACTCAACGTGTGAAAAAGTAATATCAAATTCAGAAGACAGATTACTCAAAGGGACATAGTGGCACAAGCTAACTTTTGATCAGTTTATTCAGGCAATGGTACATTCCCATTTGTAAAGCTGAGCATTGCTGCAGCAAAGAAAGATCCCTGTCCCTGGTTACTAGAAAAGGACTTCCAAAGGTAACCCTATGCATCTATTCAAGGGAATAGAAACAAGAGCAGAAGCCAGTGAAACACTCAACTTTTTGTAAAAAAGTAATATCAAATTCAGAAGACAGATTACTCAAAGGGACATAGTGGCACAAGCTAACTTTTGATCAGTTTATTCAGGCAATGGTACATTCCCATTTGTAAAGCTGAGCATTGCTGCAGCAAACAAAACCCTGGTTACAAAGTGTGTGTGGATATGCCACAGTTGGTAGTGGAGTTTAACCACATGAACTTACAATGACAAAAGCTGAAGTGCCTTTAGCTCAGGGTAAGGAGCTTCTTACAGCCAGAATGCTCCATTTTCAGACATTACATATGGTTCCAAAGATCATCAGTAAAATCAATACTTACTGTAATAACTGGTCCAAGAAATCAACACATGAAAAAAAAGAAATACAGTACTTTAGTGAAAAAAGAACATACAGCAACCATCACCCTCCTTCCCCTTTCAGCAAAACAGGGACAACGTCAGCTTCCCAGGGACTGCTGATACCACTCAGAAAAAAACCCTAGAAGTTGATAAAAGCCAGATAACTTCACCCCCTTCTCCTCTGGAAATTCTCAGCCGTGGAGAAAGCCAGAGGAGCAGCAATTAATTATGTACTGCCCCTTCTGCTCTCTGGACACCAGCCAGCTGGATGAGAAGGTGGAATAAGTATGTTCAGCTGACGGCATTTTACCAATCCTTTCTCAGCTTGCAGATAAGAAACTTCTCCACAGTTGTGAAGCAAAGACATGCTGGATTTCAGGCCAGTGCAGACCTCATCACTCCTGCATGCAGTAACCAGACCCTCTGCATCTCTACTGCTCGTGGTAACTAAACTCCCTGGATAGTAAGGCTCAATTATTCAACACAGAAAATCAATTAAAGATCCTGTAACAGTCAGCATCTGTTCTACCTGAGCCATCAGAGTACATTAGCAATTCTACTTAAAAATAAATGTGTCTGAAGCTAGAGTTGTAATTTGACAGTTTGTTCTGAAGTTATCATGAGGGCTCTACTATAAAGCAATTTTGTTTTAAAGGTACTATTACAATTTACCAGTCACCAGCCCAACATCCTGTAGACAGGGCCATCCCGTGTCACCTACCATGCACACCCAGCTCCCTTAAATTGCCTGCTGCTAGGCCCTAGACTGTTCTAAACCCCTACAAATTTGAAAATTGCTTTTCACAGCAATTTACAGAAGGCTAATTATTTAGACTGACATGTTGGGGCGCAGGGAGACAAACAAGCAGAGCTGAGGCTAATTTTTAGAAGGTTGAACGTCATCTCAAAGAACACTGTGTTATTTCTGCAATAAGTTTTTTTCCTGCTACTCCAAACAAAATACTGAATAAACCAGCACTAATTATAAACCAGAGCCTTGCCACCTCCCCATGACTATCCACCATGACCACACAGCTGCCTTAAAACAGCTTCCTTTACCTTCCCAATTTCCTCTCTGTGGAGAAGACTTCTCATTTGTAATCAAAGTAATCTCTTTAGAAATATCCTTTAAAATATAAGATGCTCAGCTTGCTACAAATTAGGGCCTGCACTTGAGGTGTTAGAGCAGCAACTCCTACACATTTCAGCTGCAGTTATAACTTCTCAATTTTTTGACATTTGGCCACAGGCCATGCTGACACTCAGAAGAGTGGAACACACAAATTGCTTCTCTAAAAACATTTAAGCAACATTAATATTTAAGTCAGACTGCAGAAAAAAAAACCAAGAACACTGTTCTCCTTGGCAGCAGCCCAATTATATCTACTAGGCAATCCTCACTTCATTTTTACTGTAGAAGTTGTAAATGCATACAACGACAAACTCATTTTCAGTTCATACTCTCTGAGGAGCAAAGTAAGGTTGCCATGCAAAGTACACCAAACCAACACATCACAGCACAAACAAGTGTGCAGCACTGCAGAAAGTTATAAGCTAGGCATTTAAATTCCCTCAATCTGCAGTACTTCTTTGGTAATGGTATACAATATGCATATTAAAGTCATAACTGAGCTTTTCAGGAGAGATAGGGAAATACATGAAGGATGATCTTGTATAATTAAAAACATACCTTGAGGCACAATCAACTAAAAGAACTGCTTTATTCCAGTTTAAAAGGCTCTATGCAACAGCTGACGTGCAAGTAAGCAGCACTGCAGAGAGCTGCACACTAATACCAGCTGGGTACAGGAGGGCACAGGCAGAAGTACCACTGACTCCTACCCAGTCAAACCAGTTTAGCTCTTACTGCATCCCTGGCTCACCAATTTCAAACTGGTGAGTGAGCTAAGAGCCTTACACTTGCTGTAAGCCAGCGTGGCACTGTGTGTTGCACAAGGATTCACATAAGGTCATGTAAGTCTCCTCACGTAAGACCAAAACACCCCAGTGCACCCCAAAGTGAACTGCTGCCGTAGAAGGCAGCCCACACCACACACACACGGGCTCTTCCCTCCTGCCTGACACTAGCAAGTGAAGGTTTCAGCAACTTTCCTGAGCTTTTCTTGACTCACGGCAGCCTGGCAGATTCTCCAAACAGATTTGTCAGCCTCCGCACAAAAACTGCCTTCTGCTCCAACCCCCACGACAAAGCACTTTCTAGCTCATATTATTTTGGTGTTTATTACAGTTGAGGATTTTTTGTTGTTGTTATGTTATCATTTCAAGCATACCAAAATCTGAAATTTCTTCGACTGAGTTGGAAAGTCTTGTACTTGATTTTAGTATCACATTTTTTCCACTGAAGCAGAATTTTAGCAGTGTGTAACTGAAGAATAAGCAGCTAAGAGAGACAAAACAAGCTAACTGGGTGCCTTTATTTCAGAAATTGGTGGAGGGGAAAAAGAGGAGGAGTACACAGCTAGGCATTATGTCTGACAAAACCTACTGGAATCAACTTAGTCATATCTGTTTCCAGCATTTAAAGAACTGTTTGCATTTATACCAGTTCAGTGTACTTAACACAGAAATAAGCCAGGCATTTACTAGCTAATATAAGTAATATGCAGCAAGAAAGCTCTGCAAAAAAATAAGAATGACAAGTTGTAAATAACTGTCTCCAAATCTTTAATTGTGACATATTAAGAATTTATTCTGCAGTTGATACTGAAGTAATGTTGTCCTCGCCCACTGCAAGGCTTTTTCCTGCTTTTAAAACACCTAATTTAAAATTCTTTTAAAGTAAATTGTTGAAAAAGTAAATATTCCCCTATTGAGTTTCAAGAACAGTTGGAATTTTTAAGTTTACAATTCCCATAGCAACCATACCACTACCAAACAGCAGAAAATGTATCTCTCAAAGATACAAACACAGCATAAAACACAGCAAAAAATACTACATGTGTCTGGAGGCAAAATCAAATTTGCAGTTCCTCCAGCAAAGACGACCAGATAAACAGCAGTGGTTAAAAATTATGGTTGATAACTTCAGTGACTAAATTAGATACCAAACACTTCTGTAGAAAATGAGTTTGCCATTATTTCACCACTTGGCAGAGCTTCCAACCCTCATCCCAGACTTTACAGAAGGATTCACTTTACACTTGCTGGATGAGATTTGGAGATTTGTGTCAAGCCCCCAACCCAGAAGCAACTGTAACATTCCCCATTCAACCTGTCTTGGTCTGTCTTCCACTGTCATTCATTAGCAGCACTTCAGACATGAGCATTTCTTCTGACTCCACAGCACTGTATTTTGCTTTTCCTGACCACATAAAGGGCTTAGAGAATAGAAATCCAAGATTTATGAGCTGAAACAGCTTCTCTACCGGTTGCCTCCTCCTTTACCTCCTCTATCCTCTCCTCTCCTCCCTCCAAGAAACCCCAAACCCAGCAATGCCCAGTCCTCCCACAGGCACTCACCAGTCCTGCAGTAGGGATAGGCATTCCATGCTTTTTCATGTATATTCAGAGCTCCTACAGGGGCCAGCATTCTCACAAACGCTGGCACTTTGCTGCAGAATTTGGAAACAGGAAGAAAGGCATTGATAAGAACTACATGTGGTGAGAGCTATGGCCCAGACACTCTGAGACAGACAGAACATCACCTGAAATGCAGATGTTACACACTGGTACATGTGTACACTGGTGGAATTGGTGGGGTTCTCCCCACCCCCAGTATGATGACTTCCAGAGACTGCTGAATTGGACAGGTTAATCTAAACCTTCTCTACATAATGAAAGGAAAAAAAAAAGATGGAAAACAAGAAAAAAAAGGCTGAAAATAGGTTGAAATCTAGGAGGGAATTTGTTCTTTAGCCAAATTACAGTATGAAAATACTGGGTAACAGGATCATATTTGCTTTGAGCAGCTCAGAGTCAGATTTTCTTGGGACAACAGCCATGCTTACACGGGTTGGATAGATGTACCCCTGCTACTCAATTCCAGATGTACCACGTGCCAGCCACTGTTTTACCCCTGTATTACCTCCATGTCTTTCAGCCTCTACATAATCTGTGATTCATACAGTCACTGGAACCCTACTGCATGTTCCTCCAGCTCCTCTTGCCCAGCTCTGGGAGTGTTTCACATACCTCTGTAAGTGGTAGATCTTGTGTGTGTACTGCCCACGCTCTCCATCTCTCTCGTAGGGTTCGTTCACCAGCACTTCCACTCCCTCACCTCCACCAGTTTCATTTTTACTGGCTTCTGCCACAGAATACAGCTGTCCCACTTGATACTAGAGAAGTTAAAGACACATTATTGTGAAAGCTATAGTTTAGCAGTAGTAACTTTACCAGAAGTCATCAAGGATAATTTTATTATCTGGGGAGAAGGCAGAGAAAAAACCATCCACCTGTGTGTCTAGATAAGCAGCTCATTTAATTTCCTTTTGGGATAGAAAGCTCGACTTGTGGAGAGGAGGAAAGCACTGCCAAAAGAATAGTTACCTTTAACCCTTAAATCTCAAGCTCCAAACCAACACAAATTCAGAAGAAAGCAAAATGGATTAAAGGAGCATTGGAACAACATTTACAGAAAGTGTAGATGACCTCAGGCATGCTGTGGCAAAATCCATAGGTTTTCACTCTTTTTGGCACACAGCTGTCCCAGTTGTTCAGGTCAAATGGAGAATAATGCACTGCCAGTCCTAAATTATTAAGCATACTGTACTTTATCCAGAAGAGTCCCAAAGAACTTTGCATCAAGGGGTTTTTATTAAAATCAGGGGTAGGAGGGAAGGGAGTGATGAACTGCAGATAGGAGATAAAAGATACTTGCACGACCTAATTTAAGTTCTCTGAGAAACACATTTGTTAGATGTGCCCAGCTTAGGAATCCACTAGAGGCAAAGATGAGCATCCCCCAAGTGCAGTTCAAAACAACTGAATAAGAAGCTTGGAATAAAGAAGGTGTTTGCACCAGTGGGTTTTCCAGTGAAATGCTGTTACCTCATAAGGCTGAATATACTGGAACTGCCCTTCCTGGCCTTTATGACAAGGCCCATTAACACACTGACAGGCTTAAACCTCTCTTGCCAAAATCAACACTACGATCAGATCTGGTCATTTCTCTTCAGTCAATGTCCATTTCCCTTCTGAGCTTTCTTCAAACTCTGTTCTGTCAGGTCCTCTACAACCAAGGCTTTTCTTCCTTCTCAACTGTCTTTATCCAACTCTAAATGATGTTTTAATTCCATATCCTGAAAACTTTATCTAATTAGATAACTGAACCAACTAGCCTCCCAGATGACCATCTCACCCATGCTGTCAGTGCTCCCCCTATTTTTCCTATTATCTTTGTGTTTTGGGTTTGGTTTTTTTTCTGTATCACTTCCTCTTAGCCATGAGCATTAAACCACTAAGAAAGCACAGAATTTCAACATACAGTGAAATTCTTACCTTGAGATCATTTCTCAATACCTTACAGACATTCCCTTGGCAGTATTATTTCCCATGAATCACACAAACTACTCGATACCATACAATTTCTTTCATAAGAAGCATGCCCAAATGTTTCACAGGGAAGAGCAGAAGAAAATTCAAGAATATGAGCAAAAGATAACATACTTGTCTGCAGAAGATGTAAAGACTAATACACTCTTGTTTCTGGCAGATAAAAAAGGGGATGCAGAGCTCAAAAGAAACATGATCAAATGAAGAAAATTCATGCAGTTTTCCAAGGGAAGCGAGATGAGCAGATGAGGACTGAGGGTGAAAATGCTATACCACTGAGTCAAAAAGGAAGTGTTCAAACTTAACTAAGTTGTCAGAACTGAAATTGAGCAAAACAGCAACTGTTGCCAAGGGCAGTAGATAGAGGCAGCCTGAGAAGGTCACCCACAAAGTGTTAGGCACCAGAAGGGCACTGATTTAAAAAATTGAAATAAAACCCTCAAAAAAACCCAAAGCATAACTACAAACCAAGGGAACACTGTTTAGGCCTTCTTCCTTCTCCCCAGCATAGGGCTGTGCATCAGAATCAGGACTAGCACTCACTACTCCCTACACTGAAGCCCAGGCTGGAAAAGTGGAATACTGACCTGAGCTGACAACCCAGAAATACTTCACTGGGCTGGGACATCTTCAGCATTTTAACCACAGTGGTTAAATTTCATTGTTAGAGCATTCAAAGTAAAAAGAGCACCCAAGCTCTATGGTGTTTTGTGCCATCTGGTGCCAACAAAGACCAAGAAAACATTCATTCCTATTGAGGAGTAGTAGATAGCAAGCCAAAGTAATCAGGTGAGATGTGCTGGCCTCAGTCAATCTGGGGCAGGGTGAAAAGCATAGCAGGGCACCTCTGAGCTAAAGCAACAGCTCTGCTGGATCTCTCCAGAAGGTCCTGGCCCAAGTTATACAAGCACCCCTCAGTTGGCTGGACAGTTCCTGCTCTTCCACCAGCAGATCAGGTTTCAGTCTGGATTTTGGGCTGCAGTACAGCTCTCTGCCTTCTGACATTTCGTACACTACATTGCTTTCCTTATGACTCCCTGCAGATGACCCACAGAAAGCAGAAGACTCACCTCCCTCCCGAAGAGCAAAACATGAGAGTTGTCAAGTCTCAGAAGCAAGTTGATTTAGTAGACTAAGAGCCACAGGTGCACCCATAAAGAAGAGAACTTATCATGAGTTTGGCAACTATGGCATTAGAGGGGAGGACTGAATGGCTTTGACTGCTTCGCAGCAAGTCTCAGGACAGGTCTCCAGGGGCACAAACTAATTCCTCTTAGTAAGAGTCCCTCATTCATTCCTTCTCCCTTTTCAAATACATGGGTCAAGGTTCAGACACTAAGAGGATAAGCCCTTTGGTTTGGCATCTTCACCATTTAATCTCCCCTGTTATTTCTGATCCTTTAATCGCATTGATAAAAGAGGAAAAGGTCCAAATAAAACTGTCCCAATGAACAAATCTCACAGCATCTGCCTGCAAAACTTAACAGAAAAACAGATTCTGGCTCTATGAAGCCCAAGGCGTCAGACAGGCCTACTGTTGAAGACCTGAGAGCTCAAAAAAACCTGCTAGCAGTTATCCTTCTTGATCTGTGTCACACCACCTCATACAACTGACAGCATTACACCAAATTTCTTTCAGAAGGCCTGGTCTCAACATAGGCACCTTCAAGAACAGTTACTTTCCTGAAAGCAGCTTTGAACACAATTAATAAATAAAAGTCCTTTGTGTTTGGCAAGCTCCTACCCATGTGAGAGGAACAAAGAGGCAGCACAGAATGTGTACACACAGCTCTAATCCATACCAGCATCTCACAGAGGCAGCTGGCAAGACACCCACACAGCCCCTTGAGTCCCTGCTCCCAGAGTTGGCTCCATGCAACACCACGTTGGGCAAAGTACACAGGGAAAGGTTAGCAACTCAGATACAACAAGGTTTCCTTCTTTTTGCTCCCTGTGGTGTGACAATGTATAAAAACACAGAAGTGCAGCTCGCAGCCTGCCTTTGAGCAGGAGGACATTTTGGCAGAGTTTCCTAGTAGAAGGCAGTCTAACTCCTACATCCCAGCCTTCCAGTTTTAGTCATCACCAGGGCTTCTCTTCCACCGTTTTGTTCCCCTTGTAGCGGTTACTTGGCTAACTACTCAGCACCAATGTCTTTATTCATTAAGAAACATCTCCCCTGTGCCTTCCTGGTCACTGGTTTTCTCCTGAATTCCTCACCATCAGTTAAGCTTCATTTGGTAGGGGTGAGTGGACCAGACAAAATCCCTGTCGTATCCCAGAGCAACACAGAAAACTCCCCAGCCCTACCACAATGCCTCAAGGTCAGAATGTATTTAATCCCTAATCTTACACATTGGCATCAGACTTCTGGCAACAATTTGCATGCAGAATGCGTGATCTGTGAAGCCTTTAGAGCAAGAATTGCCCATATTCAAGTGAAATCAGAAATCTTCTTGCTAGCCAGAGATGCTTAATGAGCAGCTACACAGTCAAGAGCCACAACAAGTCTCCAGAGCCCTGTTGAAGAGTTTTACATACCAGGAAATCCTTGAAAGCAATGAAGTCTTAACAGCTGTTTTGTGGTACAGACAGCAGTGCAGTGACCGAGTGATGCACAGATGTGTCAGTGTCTTTCCACTCAGGAAGGGGGATGAAGCAATACACAGACTCAAAGCAGGAGTCATCCTTTGAGTCAATACTGAAATAACCTTTCTCCCTAAGCCTACCTTTAATGCCACTGTATCACCAAAGTACATGTGCAAAGCTAAGTGAACTTTAGAACTCTCTGCTTAGGGAACTGGCTCCTGAAATCTGGCCTATCACATGAGACTCACCAGGCCTTGGAAAGGGACATGGTGACAATATGCAAGCTTGGGAAGAAATTAAGTTTGGTCAAGTTGGCAGTCTATTCACAACCCAAGCACATCAAGGAGTTCTCTCTAGTATTTTCAGTCCTTCTCTTCTGTTTATTTGCTCTTCACTTTGTAGAGTGGTTAGTAGGTTACTCAACCCCAGAACTCCTCCAATCCAGGAGAAGAATACACCTTCTGAAACAGATGACCCCAGGGCACCCTCAGACAAGGAGCCTGCTAAAGAGCAACAGATTTACATACCCCTGGAAACCTCACCTTTCCACACAGGCAGCCTACACAGGAGGCTCAAACATGCCTGGCACTGAACAGCCAGCCAGGAAGGGAAAAGAGCATAGCAAGGGACTCGCTTTAACTGGATGAAAGTTAATCCCAGTATCAGAGAACTCAGAAAAACCCTGTGCTGGGTTCCATCCAGTCTAACCTACTCAAAGAAACAATCTCTATACTGATGCTTTGACTTTCTCTTTACATGGCTTGTTACCTAGGAGGCATATCACCACGAGGCAGAGCTCCTGTTACTCAGACTAAGGCCTTGTATTTATTGAGATCTGGAGCACCTTACCATTTACTCACAGCTTTCTCTAAGGTGGAAGTTTGGACCTGTTGGTTCCTTGATAAAGCTTATTGTGTTAGTCCTCTCTTTGTCAAGGCCTTCCTCACACAAGTAGCACCCATGCACAATGAAAGATTGCAACATACCTACTCTAATACTCGGCTCAGACTTGTTAAAACAGTTTGAAAGAGACTCATGCAGAATGCACATTAGGTAAGGAACAAGCAGCAGACTGACTTTTGGCATTAAGAGATTCTCTTCAAGAATGGTGTTTGATGCAGAAGGGAGGGAGGAACAGCAAGCTGCAACTCCCAGAGGAAACAGTGGAGAATCAGCCACAGCCTTTGCTCAGCTATTCCATGGCCAGCGTGGCAATCAAAATTACTGTCTCCACTAAAAACTGCATTTCTTCTCTCAATTAGGGCTTTACCCAAACAAAACAAAGTTTTCTTTCTGTAAAACCCAGAGAAGACAGGTCTTAAAGAGTCACGAGTAAGACATACACAATCTTTCCTTTGCTACACCAGCCTCATAAATCAGAGGAAATTGATGCTCTTTGTCCAAAAGTTTAAAACAAAAGAGTTCCAGCAAAACACAGTTTAAAGGGTAATTTAAATTTGTACTAAAGCTTCCTCTTCATGTTAAAAGAACAGAAAAAAAGAACAACAGTATTAATCAAAAGGACACTGCACTTCAGAGCAGTCTGACAAGTCAAGATTTGTAATCAACACATCTGAATATACTTTCCAGGAGAGACAATCAGCACCCACAGCTTAAAGAAATTCAGTTATTTGGTCAAAATGATGGTGAATAGGTAACAGCTCACAGGGGTCCTGAAGACAGCTTTATCCTTCTCTCAGATTTTCCAGTTTTTGTTCATACAAATCTCTTTGATCACAAGCTTATTTACAGCCAAAGGAAGGAAGCAAGAAGAAGGGGACTCACCTCCTCCACAGACACAGGCAGGATAACGCGGCTGAAAGGGAACACAGAAACAGGACATTAAGAAACATTCCTGACACATTCCTCTCAGCAGTGGCTAACCAGCTCTCCTCTCCCCCCAGTATTCCACCATCCACCCAGTCCCACTTACTCTTAGTCCCAAGACTGTTTATATAATAGCCTCAAAGAGAATCAATAGTTGAGAGAGCAGAATTGCAGCCCTATCCTAGAACTATATCATTCTCATAGAGCCTCACTGGTAACACCCTACCAGCCTGCACATCTACACAGCATCCAAGCAGCTGCATGTTCCCTCTCACCACATCCTCTCAAGAATCACATATCTTACTTCCCATCAAGCTGCTGCAGAACATTGCTAAGTGCTTCAGCAATGTTGTGGAGATCTGGGATGTCCCCAGTCCATGGCACGACCTGCTTCTATGTCCTGCCCCACAGGCAGCAGGCTGGGCAGAACTGCACTGAAGGCTTCCTCTGAGCTGCCTGCAAAGGAAGGTGTTGCCATTTCTACACCAGCCAATTTTTTTTCCACATTGTGGTTTCCTGAGTGCCTTTTAGAATCAACTGACTGCACTAGAGACCAAAAACTGCCACAAGCTACACAGATTTTTATTTTTTTTTTAAATACAAGAATAAAACTATAGTTGTAGCTGTTAAGGCCTTTCAAAATGTTATCTCTATCTTCAAAGCTATGTTAGTGTTTGACCTGTGCTCTCAGTAAGGATGATGTTGAAGCAAGGAATAAAAGCAATATACAGATATGAAATGGATATGGCTACCATGGGTGGAAGGATACCCAGTTCTTTGGGAAATTAGTCTCAAAGAAATCAGGATATAATAGGATCAGGAAAAGTCCTCTTTATTAATAAACTCATTTTTAGAAAGCAATACTGATGATTGGGGTTTTTTTTCTACACTAGAGGAGTATTACCAGCAAGATACCACATGAGTAAACTGTAAGAGAGGCAAAAGTTTACAGATTATGCAAGATTACTTATGACAGCAACACTTTATGCTGGCTGCAAAGTACTGCAGAAAGAGCTACTGAGAACTGCAGATGAAGTTCAGTGTCGATAAAAACAGAATAATGCACTCTAAACACTTCTTGTCTGCAAACACACAGGGTTAATGAGCCCCAAATCAGCTATTGCCAACAAATATCTTGGTGTCCTTATGGAAAAGCATCTGGAAACATCAGCTCAGTGGCAGTTCAAAAGTAAACCACATGTCAGAAACTGGAACACCACACCACACACACACAAAAAAGACTAGTGTGCCACTCTAATCTCTCATGCATCAGCATCTTGAGCATTGCACGTGGTTCTGATGCCCTCATCTCAAAAAAGACACAGGACAAGGGAAGGAAAGCTTCCTTTACAAAAGATAAATGATCAGGGATGAAAATTAGTTAGACTGAGCTCTACAGCTTGGAAGAAAAACCAGCAAAAGAGTTAAGTTATGGTAGAGTCATGAATGGTGTGGAAAAGTGAATGGAAAGGGAACAATGACTATTCCTTCAACAGAACCACGCAGCACAGAATAAAAATCGTTAGGCAGCAGATTTAAGGCTAATCAAGTGCACTTCTTTACATCACGAATACTTAAGTTAGGGGATTCCTTGCCAAACACAAGAAGGATAAGTAATTTTAAAATGGGATTTGATCAATTCCGTATGGCACTTACTGGTAGGACATACTGAACAACAAACATTCTAGTCACAATTTATCTCTTGTTTCCTAAAAATACCTGCTAGAAGGCAAGGATAGAAGAGGGCCTTTGGTATTCCTTCCATCAGGGAGAACAAAAAGAAAAAAATGGATTTTCATGGGTAGACCATGCCATCAACCATGATACTAGGTGAGTTAACTAGATAAAACTACAGTAAAAATTAAAAGAGGGAAAGGATGAGAAGTAAAGGCAAAAGACCAAGAAACAGGGAAGAAACAATTGCTTTGGAACAGAATTCAAATATTTATTTAGAAAAGCCTGGCATAAAAAGATTTGTGCAAGCTAATTAAATTCCACTTAGGAAACTGGAAGACACTAAATCTGAATTTTATCTAAGAGTTCAATGTTCACAAACAGAGAAACAGAAACAAAAAGAAGTTAAATAGTTTACAATTCTTCAGCCTAGCAAATCAAGCATGCAGGGGATGACTAACACAGGTAGTTAAGTGATAAGAAAGGAGGAGGGAAGACTACTCAAGAGGATCCAGAGGAAAAGCTTTGCAGGACCACCAACAGGAACAAAAACTCTTAACTTCGGGACAGAACTTGATCAATTTATGACAAATTACATAATGTGGTTGCCTGCCATTTCAAAGGCCTGAAGATAATGAACATTTAAGATCCCTCCTAGATTAAAATCTGCCTCAAATGACAGCAAGGGGAAGTGCAGCTGCAGAGAAGGTCAGTGTCATTATGTCACTCCAGAGGAAAGGGAAGTGAGCCTCTACACTGATTCTCCTCATCCCGCACCTCTTCCGCTGCAGTTTAAATCAAAATAAGGCCAGCAAGCAAGTGCTCAGCCAGCACTTACAAACCCTGAAACCAAAAAATCTACAAAACCCACGCAGCTTATCTGTAGCATGCATAGCTAGAAAGGAAAGAGGAGTCTAAAAGACAGCGAGGACACCAGATGAAAATGTTACAGCTGTCACTGCATAGCCACCAGTACAAGAAGCTGTCTGGAAAAGATGATACAGGCTGTCCAACAGTAAAAGAGGGGACATCAGGTCTTTGTTACATTGCTCCATTTCTGTAACGTCTCCTAAAAGATCTATGGAGCACAGAACACCCATTTGATTCAGTAGGAAGCATGTAACAAAGGGTCACAGAGATGGAATAATTATCTCCTCAGCTGACATGTAGTTACAGCTCAGTTGTATTTTGACCACCTACACTAGGTAGAGTAAGGGATCTCTACACAGAGTTGGGGCAACCAGAACTAATCAAACAGCCAAAACAAAGCATTTCAAACATCCAGCTCACACCAAAACAAGACTCTTCTACATGCCTTAAACAACTGCTTCCTGGAACAGGAGATTTAGTCAAAAAACATCTCAAATAGCACGTACAATGGGCAGCTTTCACATACACCATCAAGGAAGAAACCTACCAGGTAACACAAAATGTGCAACTGTTACAGCTAGTTGGGAATCCCAAGAAGCCAAAAATAAACACTCATTTCTAAAGTACAGTAGCAACCTTGACTGTCCTTAGAGACACCCATGTCAGAAGGGAGGGGAAAAAAAACAGGACCATATAGCTAATGACAGGACTTAAAAGGCTTGGTGACCTTTCTGAAAATAGAAATGGAAGCCTGTAAAAAGCAACCAACTTAGTAATTCTGATCTTCTAGTCTTAACATTTACACTTCACATTTTGTTTGTGAAACAGGCAGTGTGAAAGACCAGTAGATATGCTGATTTGTTGAGGTAAATGATATCAAATAAAATAACCTTTGCAAGTGATGCTCATCAAAATTTATTTTCCATACGCTCAGAAATCTGCAAATTCAAAGTACATATGTTCCTGTGTTTACAAGGCACCCTGCAGATGGAAAAGCTCACTGGCAAGTAAGCTTTACTGCAGTACAGGACAAGAAATTGTAAACCAGAAGCATGGAAAAGATAGAGAAACGTGAATAGAAATAAAGCAGAAAGGTGCTGTAAGAGGAAGAGTACACTATCCAACAAAATTCAGAGGAAAACATCAATAGAGCAGATAGTCTAGGAAAAAAAGTTTATCTTTTCATGCACCTGAAATTAAGCACTTTGCCCAGGTTTCCCTTTGCTATCCAGTTCAACACTACAGAATGTAATGGTGTCTCTATGTTACAAAGACCAGCTCTGTTGCTGCTCTTGAATTCTACACCCCTATTGTTGGATAAAACCAGCAAGGGCTTAAGGACTGGTGGGGAAAAAAGGAAGTTATTCAAGTTTAAAGACAACAACAAGCATCAGGACAAATCTCAATAAAGTTTTAATACTTAAACCCACACTATGGTCCATGATCTGGCAAAGTAATTGCTTTAAAGAGGACACCATCATGTAGGTAAATGTGTCTAAGAGAAGACCTGAAAACCCACTTTATCATTGGGATTGCAGCTGAAGGGGGGAAAAACGGGAAAAAACCCTTCTTCAATCAGTCAAAAGAAGTTTAAAAGGATAGAACACACTTAAGAACGCACTTAAGTCAACCTTAAGAATTCAAGAAAGAACTATGTGCAGCAGTACACAGAGCTTGAAGGTCCCCAGCCAAAGTGCAGCCGTCCAAAGGAGCACACCAGGAGAGCAAGCAGAAGAGCGTGAGGGCCCCCAGCCAAAGGGCAGCCGTCCAAAGGACCACACCAGGAGAGCAAGCAGAGAGCAGCCGAAGGAACGGCCACGACAAGCGACGTGACTAAGTTACACACACTCACGACAACCGAGCCCAGCCTGTTTTCCACCCCTTCCTCCCCATCGCGGGGCAGAACAACCGCAGCAGCCCCAGGGCCAGCCAGAGAACTCCAAGGTGAGCTATCCACAGCAAAAAAGGATTTTA